AGGAATGCAATGACCATTAAATATAAGAAAATGTAACAATGTAATACATCATCACAATAAAAGATGAAACAATCCCAAAATAATACAAAATAAGCTTTTGATAAAATTTAACATTCATGATAAACACTCAGAAATATAAAAAATGTGGGACAATAATTGTCTCAATAAAGAGTATAAAAAACATCAAACTTAATGGTGAAATTAGAAGCATTTTCATTAAGTTCAGAACAAGTAAGTCTACCTACTCTTAAACTAGAGGTTCTGTCCAAAGCAATGGACAATAAACAATTGAAAACATCATAACTGTAAAGAAAATGATACTTATTCATATATATAGGTGTGTGTGTATGTGTGTGTGTGTTATATGTGTATATATACAACACACACATATATAACACACATTATATACACATATATAACACACACAGTTGATTGTATTAGCTACTAACTATTAGAATGAAAATCAATACCAATATACTTAGAGATTAAACAAAACATTTTTAAATAACACATAAGTCAAAATATCAACTAAATGGAAATGAAAATACAACATCAAAATTTGTGGAATGTAGCAAAAACAGTGCTCAGAGGAAAATGTATAGCTTTGAATGTATGTATTAGATATGAGGGACGATCTAAAATAAATGATCTAAGCTTCCACCTTAGAAAACTAGAAAAAGACCAGCAAATTTAATTTGAGTTAAGTAGAAAAAAAAATAAAAATCAGAGCAGAAATCAATAAAATTAAAAACAGTGAATCAAAGTAAAAGAGATCAATGACACCAAAGCTGGTTCCTTGTAAAGATACATAAAATCAATAAACCTTTAACCAGCTAAGAAAAAAAGAGAGATGATTCAAATTAATACTAGCAAAAATGAGATAGGAGACATCAGTATAGGCACCATAAACAATAAAAGGATAACAAAGAAATACTGTGAACCACTCTATGCCCGTAAATTTGATAGCGTGGATAAAATGGCTTGAAAGACACAATATGACAAAACTTACATGAGAAGAATTAGACAATCTGAATATGCCTACATCTATTAACAAAATTATATCAATAATTAAGAACATTCCCAAACAGAAAGTATCAGACCCAGATGAATTCACTGGTGAATTCTATCAAAGACTGAAGGAAGAAATTATGCCAACTATCTACAATCTCTTTGAGACGACAGAAGCAAAAGGAATACATCCTGCCTTATCTTATGAGGCCAGCATTACCCTAAACACTAAATCTAGTCAAAGATATCACAAGAAAACAGTGTCTCTCATGAACACAGATACTAAAATCTGCAACAAAATATCAAAATTGAATCTAACACTGTATAAAACAAATTATATGCCATGAACAAGTGGAATTTATCCCATGCATGCAAGGCTGTTTTAACATATGAAAATTAAACAATGTAATTCATTGTACCAACAAGCTAAAGAAGAAAATTCACATGAGCATACAAATAGATACAAGAAATGCATTCAACAAAATCCAACACACATTCATTATTAAAATCTCTCAGCAAATTGGGAATAGAAGAGAACTTACTCAACTTGTAAAGAATATCTACAAGAACCTACAGCTCACACAATACTTACTGATGAGACCCTAGAAGTGTTCCTGCCAAGACCAGGAACAAGGCAAGCATGTACTCCCACCATTGCTTTTTAACATTATATTAAATGTCATATCTAATGCAGTAACACAAAGAAAATAAGAGGTGTATGAATTAGCAAGGAAAATATAAAATTGTCCATTTTTCAAATAACATGATCATACATGTAGAAAATCTGAAGAAACTGAGCAAAAAACTGGGACTAACTATAGCAAGGTTTCAGGACACAAAGTTAATATAAAAAAGTCAAACGTTTTCCTGTATACTTGCAATGTACAAATGGAATTTGAAATTAAAAATATAATACCATCTACATCAGCATTCCTCAAAATCAAATACTTAGTTTATAATTCTTACTATATATATATATTATATATAGTAAGAATTATAAACTATTTGATTTTATATATATATATTATATATATAATATATATAATATATATAATATATTGTATATAATATATATAATATATATATTATATATATAATATATATATTATATATATGTATATATGTGATCTAAGAGAGAAAAACTATAAAAACATGATGAAAGAAATCCAACAACTAAATACATGAAAAAACATTCAGTTTCATGGATAGGAGACCCAATAAAGGTTGAATATCCCTAGCCCCCAAATCCATAATCTAAAATGTTTCAAAACTGGAGACATTCTGAGTATCCATCAACCTGATGGTCCAAGAAAATGCTCCTTGGAACATTCTGGATTTTGTATTTTTGGATTAGAAATGCTCAATCAGTAAGTATAATGCAAATATCCCAAAATCAGAACAAATTAAAAATCCGAAGCACTTTTGGTCCCAAGCATCTTAGAAAAGAGATAATCAACCTTTATTACCAAGAGTTCTTACCAAATTGATATGTAGATCCAATGCAATCCTAAGCAAAATAGCAGCAAGTTATTTTGTGGATATCAGCGAACTAATTTTAAAGTTTTTATGGAAACAAAGACTCAGAATACCAACACAGTATTAAAAATGAACAAAGTTGGAGGACGGACACTTCTCAGCTTCAAGACAAACTATAAATCAAAACAGCATATTATTGGCAAAAGAACAGACAAATAGATCAATGAAAAAGAATAGAGAGCTCGAAAGTGACCCACATAAACACAACCAACTAATTTGTGAAAAAAACAAAGGCAATAAAACAGAGAAGTCAGTTTTTTTAACAAATGTTTTTTGGCTGTAAAACGGATACAATTCAGTATTTGAAACAAAGAAACTATTAAATAAGTTTGTATTTAGAATCACTGAATTTCAAAGTTTCAAGCTATCCTACAGGTCATCCTGAACAGTTGACCCCAACTTTTTTGGCACCAGGGACTGTTTTTGTGGAAGACAATTTTTCCATGGACCCAGGGTGTGGTGAATGGTTTTGGTATGATTCAAGCATATTACGTTTACTGTGCACTTTATTTCTATTATTATTACATTGTCATATATAATGAAATAATTATATGACTCATCATAATGTAGAATCAGTGGGAGCCCTGAGCTTGTTTTCCTGCTACTTGACGATAGCTTCTGGGGGTGATGGGAGACAGTGACAGATCATCAGGCATTAGATTCTCATAAGGAACATGCAACCTAGATCCCTCACATGTGCAGTTTACAAGAGGATTTGTTCTCCTATGAGAATGTAATGCTGCTGCTAATCTGACAGGAGGTGGTGCTCAGGTGGTAAAGCGAATAATGAAGAGTGGCCATAAATACATATAAAGCTTTGCTGGCTTGCCTGCCACTCACTGTCTGCTGTGTGGTCTGGTTCCTATGCCTGGTATTGATCTGTGTCCTGGGGGTTGGGGATCCCTGATCTGGAACAACATTTGCTGACACGAGTTCTCTCACCAAAATTCATTACATGGTAATATCTTCAGCTGAATACTTCTAGTGTTTTCTTCTGGGCAGGCAAAAGAAAACTACTACTTTTGGAAAACTATAATACAAATATTTATTTATAAGTGAGGGTTCTTATTCTTTTACCTCTCAGGATATTTTAGAAATGTCTTATAATCTTTCACATATATATTCATTTAGCTGTTTCCCTCTCTATCATCTACGTATCTGGAGGCAGAGATTATAATTGTTGAAAATGCTTTGTATTCAATCATAAGCAGTGTCATGTTTATAAGTGACCTTAATATAATTTGATCGTGATGGAAATATGTGGAAAAAAATGAACGTACTCATATATCTGAAGACATAAATAAAATCATAGAAAGTGCCATATCTGAAAAACAATACCTACATATTAACTGAAATTCAATTCCATGGAAATAATTATGATGCTATGATAATATTAGAACATTTGAAACATATGACTTATTATAACTGAAAACTTTGTTGACCATATTTATAAATTGTGTTTAATAAGAATGACAATGTTGAAACACCTA